TTATTTTCAGTTAGCTTAGCCGTATGGCTGAAACAAAGGAGAGATTCTTTTAGGTTCACCATTATAAGCTCTCTGTTTGCACTTTGAATTTCAAGCCTTAGGCCTCATCATGTAAATTTTCCAACATAATTAAATATATATAGCTATTTCACCTCTCAGTCTTTGAGGTAGTCATAATAATCATCACAGCAGTCACTATATCCCCTTATATACTTGTGTCAATAGGGCAGTTCACTACAATCAACATTGAGTAGTAGCTAATTGTGATGTCACTACATGCCACTCTTCATTAGATTAGAGTTCAGCAGTGTATTTAAGACAAGTGTTGTACCCAGGTCAATCCCAAACTCCCGTTTTATCTTTCTCTTTTGATATCACTCCTAGTACCAAGTCTTGTGTCTGTCAATATCCTGTCCAGAAAAGAAAAACCCACCAAGGAAAATTAATATAGGAAAATTTAAAAAAGTTATTAGAGGACTGAAAAATAAAAATTGAACGCGGAGAGACCCAGAGGTAAGATTTGCTAGAAGGAACTACAGTATTATTAACTATATGCATATTATTGTAGAGCAGATCTCTAGAACTTTTTCATCTTGCATGACTGAAATATATTCATTGACTAGGAACTCCTGATTTCCCTAATCCCTCAGTACCTGGCAACTAATATTCTATTTTTTTTCTAATAAGAGTTTTACTACTTTAGATACCTCATAAGTGAAATTATTCTGTATTTGTCCTGTGACTGGCTTATTTTACTTAGTATAATATTCTCAATGCTCATCCATGGTGTAGCATATGTCAGGATTTTCTTCTTTTTAATGACTGAATATTTCTTTGTTCGTATATACCACCTTTTTTGGCCATTCGTCTGTTGGGAAGCATTTAGATTTTTTCCACCTTTTGGCTATTGTAAATAATGCTGCCATGAACATGGGAGTGCAGAGATATCTTCAAGAGCCTGATTTCGATAGTTTGGATAAATACCTAGAAGTGGGATCGTTAGATCATATGGTAGTTCTGTTTATTTTTTTTTTAGGAACCTCTATATTGTTTTCCATAGCAGCTGTGCCATTTTACTTTCCCACCTCTGACATTGGAAGTCACATTTTTTTTTTTAAGCATGAGGATTTTATATGATACTTGAGAAGGCCTCTATAAAACATAAAAGTAATTTAGGATAAGATTAATACATTTGATTTTTTTTTTTTTTTTTGGAGGCAGGGTCTCATTTTCTTGCCCAGACTAGAGTGTAGTGGCCCAATTTTGGCTCACTGCAACCTCTGCCTTGCAGGCTCAAGTGATTCTTCTGCCTCAGCCTCCGGAGAAGCTGGGACTACAGGCACCTGCCACCACACCTGGCTAATTTTTATATTTTTAGTAGAGATAGGGTTTCACCATGTTGGCTAGGCTGGTCTCGAACTCCTGACCTCAGGTGATCCACCTGCCTTGGCCTCCCAAAGTGATGGAATTATAGGTGTGAGCCATTGTGCCCAGCCTGAATGTTATTTTTTCTAAGAGGTAGGTTTGTTTGTTTTAATTTTAAGTTCTGGGATACATGTGCAGAATGTGCAGGTTTGTTACATTGGTATAAATGTGCCATGGTGGTCTGCTGCACCTATCAACCCATCATCTAGGTTTTAAGCCCCACATGTATTAGGTATTTGTCCTAATGCTCTCCCTCCCCTTGCCCCCCACCCCCTAACAGGTCCCGGTGTGTGATATACCCCTCCCTGTGTCCATTTTTTCTAATTGTTCAACTCCCACTTATGAGTGGGAACATGCACTATTTGGTTTTTTGTTCCTATGTTAGTTTGCTGAGAACGGTGGCTTCCAGGTTCGTCTATGTTTCTGCAAAGGACATGAACTCATTCTTTTTTATGGCTGCATAGTATTCCATAGTATGGACACTTTAGCAATATTAAGTCTTTCAGTTACATGAAATCTTTATTGATGTCTTACTGCATGTTCAGTGTTTTAAAAATATAAATTACAAACACTCTACAACCATACCCAGATTTACTTACTTTATCAGAAAAAAACTTGAGAGATTTGCAGATCAAATTGAGAGACAATAAGTGTACATTGTTGAATAAAAAATTTTTAAGTTTCTGGAAAAAAAAAAAACTAACTTGAACTACACTATAGACCATATGGACCTAGCAGACATACACAGAACATTCCACTCAAAACATCAGAATATATATTCTTCCCAAGGACACACAAAATATTCTCCAGGGCAGTTCACATATTAGGTCATCTGACCACAATGGAATGAGAGTAGCTATCAGTAGTATAATGAAATCTGGAAAATTCACAAATACACTCATTCATCACTTAACAGTGGGGACAAGTTCTGAGAAGTTTGTTGTTAGGTCATTTCATCATTGTGCAGACATCATAGAGTGTACTTCTACAAACCTAAAGTGGTATCACCTACTGTATTGGATAGCCTATTGCTCCTATGCTACAAACCTGTACAGTATGCTACTGTACTGAATACTGTAGGCAACTGGAATACAGTGGTAAGTATGTATATAAGCATATTTAAACATAGAAACAGTAAATATATGGCATAAAAGATTAAAAATGGTTCACTTGTTTAGGGCAGTCATCATGAACGGAGCCTGCAGAACTGGTAGTTTCTCTGGGTAAGTCAGTAAGTGGTGAGTAAATGTGAAGGCCTAGGACATAACTGTACACGGCTGTAAACTTTATAAATGTGCACTTAGGCTATGATAAATTTATTTTTAAAAATTTCTTTCTTTAATAATAAATTAACCTTAGCTTACTGTAACTTTTTTACTTTATACACTTTTAATTTTTTAAACTTCTGACTTTTGTAATAACACTTAGCTAAAACATAAAAACATTGTACAGCTGTACAAAAAATTTTATATCCTTATTCTACAAGCTTTTTTTCTTTTTAAAATTATGTATTTTTTCTTACTTTTTAAATTTTTTGTTAAAAACTAAGATAAAAACACAAACATTACTATTTTGGGTTCAGTTGCCTTTAAGTTTGGGTATGTGCTTAAGAAATGACTTTTCTTCTTGTCAAGTAGCATTCTTACTAAAATTTTCCTGAGTAAAAAATACAAGAGAAACAGAATAGGTGGAGTTTTGATTGATTTGATTCAAACTAAATCTGATTGGTTCAGGGTGGCATTATTTCTCCCCTCTATACAAACAAAAAATAAGTCCCCAGCTTACATAGACAAATGTTTTCTAAAAGATCAGCAACAAATCAATGACACTACGTCCTTTAAGCCATTCTTCCCAATTCCTCTTTCTGAGGCAGAGAGAGGGAGTAATAGAAACAAAGCTAAGATTTAAACTATTTTCAGTAGTAGAAGACATTTAAGGCCAAAAAGTGTACTATTAACAGAATTCTTATGTTCCTAGGTTATTGTCCTTCATAAGCCAATGCCAGTTAAGAATTAGTTACTTGTACTGAGTCCCTCTCAAAGAGAATTTTATAATTAACTCACTCTTGTTGGTGGCTGTGCTACAGGAAAGGTGTCAAAGCAACCTGTGGTATATGTATGATATATAGTAACGTAAAAAGTGCATCACATTCTTGATTTTCAGTTTCTCATAGCAGCAGCAGGAATCTAAGACAGAAAACAGTTGTATTTTCATTCTTAAAATGCAGCAATATCTAATGAAATGGATTCAAGATCATGAAAGGATCCTCCTCTCTGAAGGACAAATGAAAATAATAATAGACAAACAGGGGTAAGCTAAAGGCATTCATTCATATTTACATATTAAAATCACTTTTATTAACACCAAATGTTTACATCTGGCAAAAGAAATAAGTATTTTAAGAATAAAGCAGACATTACTAAAGCAGTATCCATTTTCACTCTAACACCTGAGGGAAAAAGGGTATGCAGAAAGCTATATAATTTGTCTCAAGTTAGTTTGTTGGTCTGAAGAGTACAATTTTGATATGTACTGAAAGTAAAACTAAATTGGAAAATAAATGCTTGTAACTTTTAATAAGGCTGTAGAAAAGGGATACTGGCTGGGTGCGGTGGCTCACACCTGTAATGCCAGCACTTTGGGAGGCCGAGGTGGGCAGATTACCTGAGGTCAGAAGTTCAAGACTAGTCTGGCCAACATGATGAAACCCTGTTCTCTACTTAAAATACAAACAAATTATCCAAGTTTGCGCCTATAATCCCAGCTACTCGGGAGGCTGAGGCAGGGGTATTGCTTGACCCAGGGAGGTGGAGATTGCAGTGAGCCGAGATCGCACCACTGCACTCCAGCCTGGATGACAGAGCGATATGCAATCTCAAAAAAGAAAAGAAAAGAAAAAAAAAGATGAAAGAAAAGGGATACTGCAGTATTATAAAATGTCTTTAGAACTCTGGACATAACAAAATTGTATGGATAAATAGGGAAGTCTGAATCAGCAATCCCATCACATATGAGGATAGCTGTTGTATAGTTTCTAGCCCATATCAAGTTAGTTTTTAAAATTGATTTTCTGTCTGGATGTTCTATCCATTATTGAAAATAGGGATTGAAATATCTTACTATTATTGTGTTGCTTTCTATTTCTCCCTTAAATATGTCAGTGTTTGCTTTGGGTTCTCCAACATTGGGTGCATATATTTCTAATTGTTATATTTTCCTGATAAGTTGAACCCTTTATCATTAAATAGTCTCACCATTTGTCTCTTGTAACAGTTTGTCTTGCTTTTAGATGCATATTAAATTATTTTTACCACACACAAGATATAGTCAAACGTGCTTTAGGAAGCTTCCGTCATTCTCTAAAACAGATGTTCCAGGTGACTGCCCGTTCTGTCGGACTCAAGGAAACTCTCTTTTCATGCAGCCATCTCTCAGCCTGTTTATAGTTTTCTCTTCTCGGTAGCATCATCTACTGTGTCCTTGTCAAAACCTTTCCAGGTTTAGGTTTGTATATTTTCTCAAGCCTCTCATTTCTTTGGTGATTTGTTTCATTGTTGCCAGTCAAATCTGGCATAGGTCAGATTATGTCCGCTAAGCTCTGCAGTGAGGAAACCTTTTTGTTTAATACATCCTAAAAGAGGATTCTCCAATTCTGCCTGGACATATGGAACAGTTTAGCCCCCCCCCATACATTAGGGGAAACCTATGTATCCAGTTATTAATATAATCATGAAAAGAAGTCAATCATCTAGTCATTAATATAATCATGAAAGAATATGAAAAGGACTTTCTTAGAAAATGCACTTAATCAATTCTTATTTATTCACTTTCTGATCCATTTCCTCACAACCATATCTCTAAACAAGAAGATAGTAGATGGCAAAGAGATAAAATTATCTCCCAGTTGTTCCAAACTCACCTCTCAGAGTGTCATCAATTCAGTTACTTTTAATATTGTATTGAATTTCACATTCACCTTTGTTTTATGCAGGTTTTAATGTAATTGAAATCATATTAAGGACACTAAGCTTTCTTGAGCCAAAAATATGAACACTTTACATCATTAACAAGATTTCTGCTATATTTTTCTACAAAATTATAGTTTGGTGATATGGTAGAACCATACATAAAAGAGCACACTATACATAAATATTTGTATATGATGCTTATACAGAAGTTTACAGAATACTCATGATGCAAAGCAGAAGTTAAATTTCATCTGAACATTGAATGATACTGTAATGTGGTTCAAGAATGAGGAAAGTTTAGATGGTTTAGATAAGGGTAGAGCATGAATAAAGTTCCTAAAGCAGAAGTGAGCATATGTTGTATGTGGAGCTCATTGGATGGGGTTGAAGAGGCTGGCCTGACATTTGCATGAGGGAGAGGGACAGAAAAAGAAAACTGGATAGAGGTGGTAGAGGCAGAGTCAATTGACTTTAAGAGTCACTTGGTGTGGTCTGTAACTGAGAGGACCTTGTTGCTAAGCAGTTAAATCAAGAACTTAATCCTCTGTGAGATCTACAGAGATTTGTTTCCTTTTACCATGTGAGGTGTCAATTCTTGTATTTGTTTCTTGAGAGGGGCAATGCAGACCATTGATGACCGTGGCCCCTTGAAGGGACTATGGACATAATTGTTCATTTTGCTGATAAGCAATTCTTGTCCATTAAGGAGAAAAAGCTCTAGTGGCAAGATGGTAGCCTTGGGAATATGTGAGAATAAAGGAAGATAAATATTTTTAAGGTTAGTAAAGATTTAAGCATGTTCATGAACTGGAGGTAAAGAGAAAGTAATGAAGGAAAAGTTGAGGATAAATCTGATAGTAGAGTCAATCTTCAAGTAGTAGGTAGGACTATAGAATTCATAGCACAGATAGAAGGGCTGTGAGCTGGAACTGGAGGAAGATACATATTTCACTGAAATCGAATCCAAGAATCCAGGGAGAGTTAAGAATGACTGTAGCTACAGATAGGATTTTATTTTCAGCAAAGAAAGAGGGACAGAGTTTTGCCCTAAAATCTTTCATTTTCATTATTTGGCTACTGCTCTTCCAATGGATTTTGACCCACAATAAGAAATGTAGTTTAGTTTATGTTAAGACTCGGTGAGCATGAGAGTGTGCAGATATAAACAGACATGGAAAATTGAATATAAACTTTGGTTACAGTGTGTGAAGGTCTTACTAAGGATCTATGTAAAACCCTCTGATATTTTTACACAGTTGTATTTCATTTGGTTGTGACCCACTAAATTGGTTTACAGTTTGTGACCTGAGTTTGAGAAACATGAAATTAGGCTGTGACTGTGAGTGAGTAGAAAGATCATAAGATAGGGTGTTGATGAGTTTTAAATTGTTACTGGAAATAGAAGAAAGAGTTAATTACTGATTCAGAGGAAGATTCTCACAGTGGTTAAAATCCTAGTAATATTAGAGGAAAGGCCTTCAGAATATACCAGTTCACAAAATTAGTGGGAAGGTAGTGTTTCCTCAAGACTTGTCTCTGGAGTAATGCATTGATGCATGGACTGGCCTATCACAGATTCTTCGGAATAAACTTTTGTATTATAACATCGTCGTATTTCTGACAATACTTAATATAGGTTTTATCTTCTCTATAAGGCTTTTTCTTTCATGATTCTCTCTCAATTCACCCATTTCCATCTTAATATTCCAAACTCTGTGATATATACCAAGGATTTTATGAAGAGAGCTATGGAGAAGAAATCTAAATTGGGATTTCACCTCTATCAGAGATACTTTTCCTAAGAGGTCTCACCTAGTAATCCTGATTTCCTCATGTGGCATCTGGTGGTCATCCGTTAGTTCTGGAAACCTATACTGAGGGATACAGGTTTTCTTGACATCATAATGCTAAGGATGTTGCACATGCTCATTTGTGCTCTTAGAATATTGAGGCCACCAGTATGTGTTAACAGTGTGTCTCTCAAGTTGTTTTAACATTTTGATTTCTAATATTGAGCAAATCATCAACAACATTTTTAAGTGAAAGTCAGGAACTGAGCAAAATTAGCTTTTACTTGAGCCAACATTTGTTTTCAACAATGATAAGGTTTTAAAGTCTACTGAAATTGTGGTCTCCTGAACATTATAATGAACGGACCCTAGGCTTAAGCTCCTCTGTGTAGCTTTCTTTGGAACATTGAGATTGAAATTGGTAGATCCAGGTAACTCACCAGCCATGAGAAAAATAGAATCAAATCTGTGTTGACATGATCAGAAGGAGCCTCTTAATGATAGAGATTATGATGCTAGTGGGCTGTGTGCACTGCCCCAAAACAGCCGCCCCACTCCCTGTTACCCCATCATATGTCTTCCTTTCTGGAATTCCCAGGGCTTTCCTGCAGATAAGAATAGATTATAAAATTAAAAAGTCTTGATTGGAGGAGGTCTCCCAATACTAATAAGCCCTTGTAGTGGGACTTTTTTGACTACCAATTTAGAGCAGAATGAAGTATACATAAAATATCTGGGATAGGAGAGGGGGGTTGGAGCAAACTATATTAAAGGAACAAAAAATGATGGGTTTGGATGTGTGGTACACATGCTTATTGAATGTGCAGGTTGTTAGTAGGTTTTTGGTTGGAAGAAAGACTTGTCTCAGAAACCAGTGTCTTTAAAATGAACAATTTTGCCTGGTATGACAGCTCATGCCTGTAATCCCAGTACTTTGGGAGACCGAGACAAGATCACTTGAGTTTGAGACCAGTCTGGGTAACATAGTGAGACTCCATCACTACCAAAAAAAAAGAAAAAGAAAAATTAGCTGGGCATTACAGTTCAGGCCTGCAGTTCTAGCTACTTGGAGGCTAAAGTGGGAGGATTCCTTGAGTCCAGGAATTTAAGGCTGCAGTGTGCTATGGTTGTGTCACTGGTTGTGTATGTTTGCATTACAGCCTGGGCAACAGAGCAGTACTCCATCTGTAAAATAAAATAAAATAAAATAAGTACATATATTAAAATAACATGGAAAGCGTCTTGCCATTTTACATGTTCAAAGAACAGTATACAGTGAATCTTTATGTATCTATCACGGAAGTTTAACTATAACTCACCTATGTTCATTCTACCCCATCTGGAAATCTTATTGCCCATTATGTATTAAGAGAATCCTACACATTTTATTGCTTCAAATATGGTCCAAATACAAGAATCACTTTGCCTTTTTTCTCTCTCTCCTTCACTCTTTCCATCCCACCCGCCCCATCCTGGCTCTTTCAGTTTTTATTTTCAGCACTGCAGCTCTGATGGTCCAGCTCCACCAGGACACAGATTCCAGATCCTTAAAGGTACCTAGCACCTTGAACAGCTCAGAGGGAGGAGCCAGACCAACAGTGCCTCATACCTTGTCATTGTCTGCTCTAGGCAGATGGCTCTATAATCACAGCTTCATGATGGCAGTGGGTGAGCCCCTGGTGCACATCAGGGTCACTCTTCTGCTGCTCTGGTTTGGGGTGTTTTTGTCCATTTCTGGCCACTCTCAGGCCAGGCCCTCCCAGGGTTTCACTTCCTCAGAAGTGGTAATCCCTTTGAAGGTGATCAGCAGAAACAGAGGTGCAAAGGCTCCTGGATGGCTCTCCTATAGCCTGCGGTTGGGGGGACAGAGATACACTGTCCACATGAGGGTAAAGAAGCTGTTGTTTGCCACACACCTCCCTGTGTTCACCTACACGGAGCAGCATGCCCTCCTCCAGGATCAGCCCTTCATCCAGGATGACTGCTACTACCATGGTTATGTGGAGGAGGTCCCTGAGTCCTTGGTTGCACTTAGTACCTGTTCTGGGGGCTTTCTTGGAATGCTACAGATAAATGACCTTGTTTATGAAATCAAGCCAATTAGTGTTTCTGCCACTTTTGAACACCTAGTACGTAAGATAGACAGTGATGATACACAGTTTCCACCTATGAGATGTGGGTTAACAGAAGAGAAAATAGCACACCAGTTGGAGTTGCAATTGTCATATAATTTCACTCTGAAGCAAAGTTCTTTCGTTGGCTGGTGGACCCATTGGCGGTTTGTTGAGCTGGTAGTGGTCGTGGATAATGGTCGATACCTTTTCTCTCAAAGTAATGCCTCAATAGTGCAGCATGAAGTATTTAACATTATCAATATAGTGGATTCCTTCTATGATCCTTTGGAGGTTGATGTAATTTTGACTGGAATTGATATATGGACTTCATCAAATCCACTTTCTACTGATGGAGACCTAGATAATATTTTAGAAGAATTTGCTATTTGGAAGAATTACAACCTTAATAATCGACTAAAACACGATGTTGCACATCTTTTCATAAAAGAGATGCAAGGCTTAAAGCTTGGTGTTGCCTATGTTAAAGGAATATGCCAGAATCCTTTTAATTGTGGAGTTGATGTTTTTGAAGATGACAGGTTGGTCATTTTTGCAATTACTTTGAGCCATGAGCTTGGTCATAATTTGGGTATGCAACACGACACTGAATGGTGTGTGTGTGAGCTACAGTGGTGCATAATGCATCCCTACAGAAAGTTGACAACTAAATTTAGCAACTGCAGTTATGCCCATTATTGGGATAGTACTATCAGTAATGGATTATGTATTTACCCTCCTCCATATCCAGGGAATATCATTAGACTGAAGTACTGTGGGAATCTAGTGGTTGAAGAAGGAGAGGAATGTGACTGTGGAACCACACAGCAGTGTGCAGAAGATCCCTGTTGTCTGTTAAACTGTACTCTAAGTCCTGGAGCTGCTTGTGCTTTTGGGTTGTGTTGCAAAGACTGCAAATTTCTGCCACCAGGGACTTTATGTAGACAACAAGTTGGTGAATGTGACCTTCCAGAGTGGTGCAATGGGACATCCCATCAATGCCCAGATGATGTGTATGTGCAGGACGGTATCTCCTGTAATGTCAATGCCTTCTGCTATGAAAAGACATGTAATAACCATGATATACAGTGTAAAGAGATTTTTGGCCAAGATGCAAGGAGTGCATCTCAGAGTTGCTATGAAGAAATCAACACCCAAGGAAACCGTTTTGGTCACTGTGGTATTGTAGGCACAACATACATAAAATGTTGGCCCCCTGATATCATGTGTGGGAGGGTTCAGTGTGAAAATGTAGGAATCATTCCCAATCTGATGGAGCATTCTACAGTGCAGCAGTTTCACCTCAATGACACCACTTGCTGGGGCACTGATTATCATTTAGGAATGTCTATACCTGATATTGGTCAGGTGAAAGATGGCACGGTATGTGGTCCAGAAAAGATCTGCATCCGTAAGAAGTGTACCAGTATGGTTCGTCTGTCACAAGCCTGTCAGCCTCAGACCTGCAACATGAGGGGAGTCTGCAACAATAAACAACACTGTCACTGCAACCATGAATGGGCACCTCCCTACTGCAAGGACAAAGGCTATGGAGGTAGTGCTGATAGTGGCCCACCTCCTAAGAACAACGTAGAAGGATTAAATGTGATGGGAAAGTTGGGTTACCTGTTATTATTGTGCCTTCTTCCTTTGATTCCTTTTTTATTATATTGCTTACTTGTGCGTTTTAAGAAACGTACAAAAAGTAAAAAAGACAAAGGATAAGAGAAATGGGGAAAAGGAGACTAAGCTTCATACTTCATTGTTTAATCTCCAATTTTTCTTTTAATAATAGAAAAATATGAAGGCATGTCTTACTGTTTAAACAAAACTTCATGGACATTTCATGTCAGGATCACAAGCATTAGATATCACAGCAAGGGATTCCTAACATACTCTTACTTCTCTATGGTGTCTTAAGCAATATTAAAGGTTCATTTTCCCAGAAGTCATCTCTTTATGTTTCCTGATAAAAGGCACAGAAAAGTTAGTTTTATACTGGTGTCCCTCAGTTCTAACCCTCCTCTCTCTCTCTCTCTTTTTTTTTTTTTTTTTTTTTTTTGCAATACTGTATAATGTTCAGGATGTGCCTATACACACCTCATTTCTGTTTGGCATACTTAGCTATGCTAAAAGGGGGCAGTAGAAGTAGCTTGGAGTGATGATGAGGGGAGAAGGGAGCTTTCTTTCCTGTGTGCTTACCATGAGTGTCACCATTATTTTGGCTGGGGCCATTCACTCTGGTAATCATATTTGATTTCAGATTCCAGTTCTGTTGTCACTTTTAGAACCCCTCTCATTTTTCCTTAGAAATACCAGCAAGCAGCCCTGGAGTGAGCAGGGCTGTGGTCCTCTGAGTTCTTAAGGCAGCAGCAGCTGTTCACTGTGGTGTCTTTAGAGGCCTGGGTCCTTACTCTGCAGGAAATGTTCTTTAGTCATCTCCGCTCTAGTAAACCTAACTTCTTTTTTCTGTTCTCCTGGCCCTAGGAATGTTAGGTGCCTTCTGTAGCTACTTTGTTGTTGTAGGTTGAGTTCTCTGGAATCAAACACTGGATTGGAGTTTCAAGTACAAGATTTTGTTAGGGACCAACATCTGTGAAAAAAGTCAAGGAAGTTGCTTGTACAGATGAGATGTATAAGTACAGGCATAACTTGGAATAATATAGGTTCAGTTCCAGACCACTGCAATAACAGGAATATCACAATAAGGTGAGTCACACAAAATTTTGGTTCCCAGTACATATAAAAGTTATATTTATACTATACTGTAATCTATTAAGTATGCAATAGCATTATGTCCAAAAATGCAATGCCTTAATTAAAAACATTTTATTGTTAAGAAATACTAACAATCATTTGAGCCTTTAGTTAGTCATAATGTTTTTGCTGGTGGAGGGTCTTGCCTCATTGTTGATAGATGCTGACTCATTAGGGTGGTGGTTGCTGAAGGTTGGGGTGGCTGTGGCATTCTTAAAATAGGACAAGAATTAAGTTTGCTACATTGATTGACTCTTCCTTTCACAAATATTTAAGTAGTATGTGATGCTGTTTGATAAGGCTTTACCCACAGTAGAACTTCTTTCAAAATTTGAGCCAATCCTCTCAAACTTTGCCACTGCTTTATCAACTAAGTTTATGTAATATATTAAATACTTTGTTGTCATTTCAACATTGTTGACAGCATCTTCACCGAGAATCAATTCCATTTCAGGAAACCATTTTATTTGCTCATCTATAAGAAGCAACTCCTCATCCATTCAAGATTTATCATGATGTTACAGCAATTCAGTCACATCCTCAGGCTCCACTTTTAATTCTAGTTCTCTTGCTATTCCTGCAACATCTACAGTTCTTTCCACCACTGAAGTCATCTGTGAAGGTTGGACTCAACGTCTTCCAAACTCCTTTTAATGTTAATATTTTAACCTCCTCACATAAATCAGGAATGTTCTTAATGACACCTAGAATGGTGAATCCTTTCCAGAAAGGTTTCAGTTGATTTGCCCAGGTCCATCAGTGGAATTACTATCTATGGCAGCTATAGCCTTATGAAATATATTTCTTAAATAGAAAGATTTAAAAGTCAAAATTACCCCATCCATGGGCTGCAGAATGGATGCTGCATTAACAGGCATGAAAACAACATTTATCTCCTTGTACATCTCCATCAGAGATCTTGTGTGATCAGGTGTATTGTCAGGGAACAGTAATATTTGAAAAGATATCCTTTTTTATTTTTTTTCTGAGCAGTAGTTCTCAACAGTAGGCTTAAAATATTCAGTAAACCATGCTGTGAACAGATATGCTGTCACCAAAGCTTTGCTCTTTCATTGACAGAGCACAAGCAGAGTAGACTTAGCATTATCCTTAAGGCCCTTCAGATTTTTGGAATGGCAAAGGAGCATTGGTTTCAACTTAAATTCACCACCTGCATTCGTCCCTAACAAAACTGTCAGCCTGTCCTTTGAAGCTTTGAAGCCAGACATTGACTTCTCCTCTCTAGCTGTGAAAGTCCTAGTCTTCTTCCAATAGAAGGCTGTTTCATCTACACTGAAAATCTGTTGCTTGGTGCAGCCACCTCCATCAGTGATCTTAGCTAGATCTTCTGTATAACTTGCAGCTTCTACATCAGTACTTGCTGCTTCATCTTGCGACTTTATGTTATGGAGATGGCTTTTTTCTTAACCCTCATGAACCAACCTGTGCTAGCTTCAAATTTTTCCTTGGCAGATTTCTTACCTCTCTCCACTGGCATAGAATTGATGAAGATTAGGGTCTTGCTCTGGATTAGGCTTTGAGTTAAGGGAATGTTGTGGCTGGCTTAATCTTCTATTTAGACCACTCGAACATTCTGTGTATCAGCAGTAAGCTGTTTTGCTTTCTTATCATTTGTGTGTTCCCTGGAGTAGCACTTTTAATTTTCTTCAACAATGTGTCCTTTGCATTCACAACTTTGGCTGTTTGGTGCAAGAGGCCTAGCTTGGCTTTTGACATGCCTTTCTCATTAAGCTTAATCATTTTTAGTTTTTGATTTAAAGTGAGAAATGCAAGACTCTTCCTTTCACTTGAACACTTAAGCTATGGTAGGGTTATAAATTAATCGACCAAATTTCCATCTTATATATTAGGGAATAGGGAGGCCCAAGGAGAGGGAGAGAGATGAAGGAATGGTCAGTTGGTGGAGCAGTCAGAACATACACAATTTTTTTGCTTAAATTTGTCTTCTCATGTGGTTGGGATTTGTGGCACCCAAAAACAATTATTATGGTAACATCAAGGATGACTGATCACAGATCACCATAACAAATATAATAATAATAAAGCTTGAAATATTGTGAGAATTACCAAAATGTGACAGACACAAAGCAAGCACATGCTGTTGAAAAAATGGTGCCAACAGATTTGCTCATCAAAAGATTGCCACAAACCTTCAATTTGTAAAACAAAACCAAAAAGAGTATCTGTGAAGCACAATACATTGAAGTGTGATAAAAATAAGGTATACTTGTATATCACAGCCTCAGCCAATCTGGCGGTGAACTCTGAACTGAATATTGCTTGACTGATTTGTCTGAGTTGGGCCAAAATGGTCTGGTCTTCATCCCTTCAGTTTGTTCATTCAGTGGGTGTGGGAGAAGGGCATGAGCTTGGTAGGGTGCCTCTTTGTAACTGAGGCTGACCCCAAAGAGCTAACACCTGGATGCTGTCTTCTGATTATAATTCCTGCAGATGGTCAGCAAGTCTTCTTGAAGAAGGATCCAAGAAACATATTTATATATTCTACAGTCCAATATTTGCACTGCTCCGACCCACTTTTTGATCTATGTTGTGTGAACAATGCCTCCAGGATTCTGGTGGACATCCCTTTCTGTGGGAAACCTTAGAAAAGGGAAGTTAATGGGATAAACCATAGTCCTTCTGTGACATTTGGGATTGAGACTGAAATGGATACTTATTGTCTCACTCCTCCACTGTCCATTCTAGTTTCCTTAACTGTGTGTTATGACCCAGGTCTTTATCTCCAAAAGATGTGAGCACTTGGTCATCATGCCCTTCTTAAGTTGTGATTGCTGAACCTGTCCATTTATACTCACCATCAGGCTGGGGAGTACCAATAGGCACCTAAGGAGATCACCTGGGTTCTACACATATACCTCTATGTTTCCATCTTAGAAGCCCTGCCTCCTTAGGGTCAATCACCTCTGTCAAGAATGTGATTGTCTTCTTTTTGGTGCAAGGAAACAGTGAGTTCTAGTGGCAGCTTCAGCTTATAATTTATTGGGACTCTAACTTTGCCCTGGTGAAAATATGACCCATTTGGGCACCACCAGGACCTTTAAGCTGCAGAGTCCAGAATTGCAGGAGGCAACAAGCACAAATCACCCCAGTGAGTCACTCTGAGTGGCAGTAAGTGGGATCACTCCTGTTTCCAGCCCTTGGTTCCCGGACCAACGTAAAGATCTGTAGTTCAGTGCATACAATTCATCCTGCGGAATGGTATCCTATTCCTGTAGTATATTGCCTCGGAACAAGTGCTTCAGCTTTAGCTCAGTTGTGCCATCAGTAGGCATTTCCAATGCTTTATTAGGCTGGCAGCTCCTAGATTAAGTTATCTGTTATATAGCCAGTGTATACCATGTTCTTTGGCCCCCTTCCACAACTTCTTTAAAGTGGTACCTTGGTCTGATATGATATTATATGGAAACAACAGACCAGTGGATCAGATACTCCAAATATCCAAAGATATCGGTGCTCACTGCCTTACCTCAGTGTGATAAGGCAAATTCACATCATGAATATGTGTCTATTACTGTCAGAATGAACCACTGACCCTTCCGGGATGGTGATGACCAATTATAGTCAATTTCCCTCCAAGTGTTCTTCTAGGAATAATGCCAGATTGGGTGATCAGCTTGGTCTTTATTGTTAGTTCGCTGATGGCATGCCTCTGCTGCTCCAGAGGCATACACTGTGATTCTTTCTCTGGGGCTTACCACAAACTCCACTCAACATCTTTTTCTATCACAGATGCTTTCAACATCATAGGGTCTACTAGAGAGTATGACTCCAGTGGAAGGTTGTTTGTATCACAACCTGGTCCTGGTGCAGAGTTCCTTCCTTCTCTGGTTTCCACTCAAAGATGACAGTATTATATGGTACCAAATATAAGGACCCAAGCAGTGGTCCTAGGTATCAAATTTGCTGCCTCCAGGAACCAAAGCAATTCCTAGGCATTGTGTTTCCTTCTTCATGGTAGGAGGTGCAGAAAGGAATAATTTGGCCTTTCTTTGGAAGGGATAACCCCGCATATCCTTAGCTCTTAGAAAACTAAAAATTTTACTGACACAGCATGTTCTTGATCCCAATTTATTATTATTCACAGAGTTTATCTTCCATCCTCTGAGCTCATGTATTTTACCAAGGCCTTCAATGTCATTACTACCTCTTGTATACCTGGCTTGATCAACATGATGCCATCAATGTACTCGATCAGTGTGATGTACTGTGGGATAGCTAGATAGTCTTCTCACTATGTTATGACAGAGGGTGGAAGTATTATCATAGCCCTGGGTCCATAAGACCAATAACTCACTGTAAGTCAGAGCATTGCTAATACTTTATTACTTGGTCCTCATATATGTTTTCATTATAACAGGAAGGTCATCCCAATGTTTTGAATACCTTGATATTAATGTCAACTCAGTCTCTGTGTTCAATAGTCCTCGAAATGGATAGATATTCCCCCTTCCTTTGCACAGCTATGTAAGTGGCCTTAGTTCCCTTTGGTGAAGGGCTGGGGGAGTCATTACTGTTTATATATTTGCCATGGTGTTATAGCATCCTGGTCCCAGGGCTCTGTCCATGTCATCAGGGAGTGAGTTCCAGGTTTGAAAGAAGTTCAAGTCCACAAACTGGGAAAGTGATGAACTTTTGGGGAGGCAACTCCTTTTTGCTTCCCAGTCATCTATGCTGGGCTTCTTCTATTGGCATAAAGTAGTATCCTTATTGGCTGCCTATCTATTTTGCCCTTAAGGATTTTGGAATCCTTCTACTACTATCACCTTAGGTCTTGCTGCCATTCTGACCTTGCCAGTCTTTTTGTTTGTTTGTTTGTTTTTTGAGACAGAGTTTCGCTCTTGTCCCAGGCTGGAATGCAATGGCGCAATCTCGGCTCACCGCAACCTCTGCCTCCTGGGTTCAGGCAATTCTCCTGCCTCAGCCTCCTGAATAGCTGGGATTACACACACGTGCCACCATGCCCAGATAATTTTTTGTATTTTTAGTAGAGACGGGGTTTCACCATGTTGACCAGGATGGTCTCGATCTCTTGACCTCGTGATACACCTGCCTTGGTCTCCCAAAGTGCTGGGATTACAGGCATGAGCCACGGCATCCGGCCGACCTTGCCAGTCTTTATGACTATTGCAACTTCTTACTCTCTGGGATGGTTATATATTACCTCCTGACCTCTAGGTGTCAGAGTCATATTATCACCACTGCTAGTAGTGAGCAAAGTTCTGTAACACCCCCTCCTACTCTGAGCCCTGGCTTGCAAAGACTCAATACTGGACCTTCTAGTAATACCAGTGCTCCTCTTATTAGCACATTTTTTATGTCTTTGGTAAATGGTGCATTTTATGGACATTCCTATGGAACATTATCATCTGAAGGCCATGTAGAATTCCGTTTCAGCATGCCCATTTCCATGAAGCTTTTAATCCCATAATCATTCATTATGGCAATTCTGGCATTTCAGCTTCACTGTATGGGCATTACTTTTTCCATGCTTCTAGAAGCCATCCCAGGAACAAATTTGCATCATGCCCTAGGGTCCTTGCCAAGGTGTAAAATCCTATATCTTGGGAGAGTAAATTTTTTCCCTTTCCAATTTTATGTTTGCCATTTGATTATGCATATCAGAATGAAATACCTTTTCTCTGAGTATGCTGAGCACTTTTCCAGTTGATTATGCTGTGACTGAATCCTAGCTTTATGCCTAGTGGCCAAAAGAGGACGGCGGGGGGAAGGCTCTGCAAGACACCCATTGCCTCATAGTGGAGTGGCCTCTGCATTCTCTTTCACGATTCTGGGATGAATCACTCCTGCAGAAGAGTATATGGAGCGTGAGTTGAAAGGATCCAGTCAGATGTTCCCATCCTGTGTGTCAGAGTCTCAAGTTTTTTCCACCAAGGTCCTAATTACAGTGCTCTCTTGATTGGGCATTTAACTCTTTTTTTTTTTTAGGTTCAGCTACTTGGATTTCTTTCTCTTCCCCTAGAAGGAAATGAGGGCTACTTCGTATGCAGTCAGAAAGGATACTGACATTCATGCCTGGATTTTAATTGCCTGTTGCTCACCATCAGCTGTTCAGTATCTTGCTATAGTACATCAAAGGCACTTAGCAACAACTCTTCAATGCTTTTATTCTTATAACTCCAATTTCCTCCTTACCTCTTGTAGTAGGCAGAATTCTAAGATGCCCCCCACCAACCCCTGCCTTGCATCCCATCCTCCTGGTATCTGCCTTTATGAATTCTTCTCCCCTCAAGCTTGAGTGAGACCTGTGATTTGCTTCTAACTTAGACTATGGCAAATGTGGGAATTCTGCAGATGTCATTAAGGCCCTTAACTAATTGACTTTAAGTTAATCAAAAGGGAAATTTTTCTGAGTAGGCCTGACCTACCAGATGAGCCCTTTTAAGAAGGATCTGAAGGTAAAACTTAAAGCTGCAGACACTTCTTGTCCTAGCTTTGAAGAAGCCAGCTGCCATGAGTTCTACAACTGTCAGAAAATGAAACCCGCAACATCCTGATTGAGCTTGGAAGAAGAAATTTTCTTTGATGAGAAATACAACTCAGCTAGTCCCTTGATTGTAGCTTTGTGGGACCCTGAGCCAAAGACCTAGCTAAGCCTGTCCAAATCCTCACAAATGAAAACTGTGAGATAATAAATGTATGTTGCTTAAGACGCTAAGCTTGTGGTAATTTGTTACATAGTTTGGAAAATGAATACAACTCAAACCCTTGCTCCATCTCAACTGTTAGTGATTTCTTCCCCAGTGGCACATATTCCAAGTCACTACTTATGAGACTTTTAACCATTGGAATACCCACCTTGTGCCAGGGGCTGTTTGTGTTCCACCTATCACCAGAAATAGAGTCCCTATTACCAGTTCTTGGGGTCAGGCTAACTCACTTTAGCTGTGTCAAACCATGAAGTAGTGGAAAGCTCAAGGCTGGCTGCTGACCCGCAGGGCACCTTGTCCTTCCATGAGAGGGAATCTGGGCTTCTCACCTTCTGTTACGTTTTTCTTATCTTGTGTTTCCTTTCCACGTTTCAGTCCTCTAATACTTGTTTAGCCACGTTTGTATTTGTCACTCTTTGGCTTCACCGTGCTCTCATGTAATCCTTGAAGTCTACAGACCTAAATGGGGAATTGGCTTCTGGGAAGCCTATCAGGTAGCTGGGATTCACCCATTCAATTCCCCTCAAAGTTGATATGTGACTAGGGTACTGTTGTCATAACCTTAATGGGGATGCAAGCACAGAGAGCAAGGCAGAAACCCACTAACCAACATTAGGGAACAAGTTAGCCTCTAATCTCAGGAGAAAGTGGAAAGAATAAAACTTACACATAAGTGCAAGCTACAACTGCCTAGGAGGAAGAGTAATTTTATATTGAGCCCAGGGTATTAGTCCAAAGCTTTTTAGCCAAGACCAGTCTCCATTCTAGAAAGGGGTGCTAGCGTTGGACCTTCTTGCTCAGGTTACAGCTGGAGCTACAGGAAGAATGCAGAGACTGGGGAGACAGGGACTGACAGGGAAGCCAATCACTCTAGACATGGGTATAAGTGGCTAAGTGACCAAAAAAACAAAACAAAAAAACCCTTCCTATCTACCTCTCAGAGCCTTGGCTTTTAGATTCTCACATGAATTTAAAAGTCTTGATTTTATTTTAGATACAGGGGGTCCACGTGTATGTTTGTTACATGGGTATATCTCATACTGACGGGGATTGGGCTACTAGTGTACCCATTACCCAAACAGTGGACAAGAGTTACCTGATAGGTAACTTTTCAACTCAATCCACTTCCATCCTCCTCAGTTTTGGAGACCCTGCTGAGTATTGTTTCCATCTTTATGTCCATGTGTACCCATTGTTTGGCTCCTACTCATCAGTGAGAACATGAAATATTTGATTTTTTGTTTCAGTTAGTTCACTTCCTCCTCCCTTTCACCCTCCCCTTACTTCCTCCTTGTCCTATTTTTCCCTTTTCTTCTCTGGCTTCCCTTTCTTCCTCCTCCTGTTCTTTACCTTCCTTACCCTGTTCCTCCCCATCTTCCCTGTTTTTTTTTTTTAATTATACCAGAAGTAAACACATGAACATTCATTTTGTGAAACATTAAAATTTCGTAGATAGAATTGTAATCCGATTTTACTGTCTGCCTGTCAAGAGGAAACTTTATCAGCTTTTTTGGCAATATTCCAGACTCTTTTCTTTATACATACATTACAAAATTATACATAATTTTGTGTCCATAATGGTGCTATTTTTATTATTGTTATAGATTTTCATAGTTCCCAGACTGTTCTATTTTATACTATCTGTGCTTTTCCACCACATCTAAAAATGTCTTCTACTATCTTTGTTTATGGTGACAGAATTTAAAATTTGTTAAGTAGTCACATTTATTTTCTCTAACACTGAACTTTTTAAAACGATTATTGAACAAGAAACATTTTTCTACCCTCAGATCAAAAAGACATTCTCCTATTTTTTCTAGTAGTTTAAGAGGAGTTTTTCCCTTCATATTTAGGTCTTCATTCTTTTTGAAATATGTTGTGTCTCTGTGATGTACAGATACAGTTTCATTTTTTTCATACAGAAAGCCAATTTTGCCAAACACTGATTTCATATGTGTGTATACATGTGCATGCACACACACACACACACACACAAATATATTTGCCTATTTCTAGAGTTTTAATTTTTTTTTTTTTTGAGATGGAGTCTCATTCTATTGCTCAGGATGGAGTGCAATGGTGAAATCTTGGCTCACCACAGTCTCTATTTGGCCTCAATTTATCCTCCCACCTCAACCTTCTGAGTAGCTTGGACAACAAGTATGCACCACAATGCCTGGCTAATTTTTTGTATTTTTAGTAGAGATGGGTGTTTTACCATGTTGCCCAGGCTGGTCTTGAACTCTTGGACTCAAGCGATCCGCCTGCCTCAGCCTCCCAAAGTGCTGGGATTATAGGTGTGAGCCACTGCACCCAGCCTAAGTTTTAAATCTTGATGTATGTTTGTCTGTTTCCTTACCAATTCCACATTTTAATTATTATACATTAAAAATAAAACTTGATAAGTAATTGGTGTAGATACTAATCCCCTTGTCTGATTTTCTTTTCAATTTGTTTGGTTTTTACTTAATGTTTTACTTTTTCAAATATATAATTTTAATATTTTAAAATTTTCTTCAGGTTTCTTGGGGCATGATTGACAAAAATCGCATCTATTTAGGGTATACAATATGATTTTTTTTTTTGAGACAGTCTTGCTCTGTTGCCCAGGCTGGGGTACAGTGGCATGATCTTGGCTCACTGCAACCCCCACCCACCATGCTCAAGCAATCCTCCTACCTCTGCCTCCCAAATAGCTGGGATGAAAAGCATGCACCACCATGCTTGGCTAATGTTCAGAAACATTAAGTTTACCCTGCCCCTTTGGCTCCTTTGTGGAGAATGCCTTTTAGTTTGTAATTAGTGGTAGGCAGGTAACAGCCGCCTAGTTGGTAGATTCTTGTGTTATCAGTAAATGTAGAGCACCTGTGTATTAATAAGAATCACCTGTCTAAGAGCAAATAAATACGTGATGAGAATCTACTCAGGGCCTTCGGCCTGGAATGCTATCAGCCCCTGAGGTTCTCAAGCTGTTGGTACCCCAGATAGATCCACTCTGTTCTATCGGGGTGTCTGCTTTTCAATACCAATACCTTCAGTGCCGCCTGGGTCGGGGGGTGTCCCAATTGAGCTGGTACTCAGTAGGCTAATTTTTTTTTTTCACTTTTGTAGAGATGGGGTTTTACCCTGTTGCCTGGGCTGGTCTGGAACTCCTGGGCTCAAGGGATCCACCGGCCTCGGCCTCACAAAGTGCTGTGATTGCAAACATGAGCCACTGCATCTGGCCTAATGTTTTGATGTATGTATATGTCATGAAATGATTACCACAATCAACCTAATTGACATATCCATCACCTCACATAGTTTGGGTAAATTTGTCTGTCCTGTGAAATATTCTCTTGGGATTTTGACTGGAATTACATTGAATTTACTGAGTTGGAGAATTGATATCATTGTTGTATACTGACTTGTCTTAATCACCAATATGATACATATCTCAATTTCCTCAGTTCTTTTTTGTGCTTCAATAGTGTTTTAACATGTATCTCTAAAGCTGTGCACATCCTTTAAAAAGATCTTTATTCCTCAAAAAGTTAAGACATTTTATTTTGCTGATGTGTGTATTATCTTTTTTTCTACTGCATTTTATAATTATTTCTTGTGTATAACAATGGTATTTACTTTTGCCTGTTGGTCTTATATTTAGGAAATTTGTTTAGCTCTCATTAGTTTTAATGGTTAGTTTCAAGCTTTTTCTGTTTGATTTCCTATATGGATAATCATATTATATGTTTTCCTTCCACTGCAAGCATTATACCACATTTTGTGTTCTTGGCATGTTTATCAAAGGTCAGTTGACCATAAATATGTGTTTATTTCTGATCTCTCTACTATGTTCCATTGGTCTATGTGTCTGGTTTTTTTTTTTTTTTTTTTTGAGACGGAGTTTCGCTCTTGTTACCCAGGCTGGAGTGCAATGGCATGATCTTGGCTCACTGCAACCTCCGCCTCCTGAGTTCAAACAATTCTTCTACCTAAGCCTCCCGAGTAGCTTGGACTACAGGTGCACACCACCATGCCCAGCTAATTTTTGTATTTTTAGTAGAGATGGGGTTTCACCTTGTTGACCAGGATGGTCTTGATCTCTTGACGTTGTGATCCACCTGCCTTGGCCTCCCAAAGTGCTGGGATTATAGGTGTAAGCCACTGTTCCCGGCCCTTTTTAATTTTTTTTATGTGTCTGTTTTTATGCTGTTACCATACCGTTTTGATTACTATTCCTTCGTAGTATATTTTGAAATCAGGTAGTATGATGCCTTCTTGAGCTTCTTCCTTTGCTCAAGATTCCTTTGGCTATTCTAGTTTGTGTGTGTGTGTGTGTGTGTGTGTGTGTGTGTGTGTGTGTGATTCCATACAAATTTTAGGACTTTATTTCTATGAAAAATGCCGTTAGGATTTTTAAAATTGTACTTTAGGTTCTGGGATACATGTGGAGAATGTGCAGGTTTATTACATAGATATTCACGTGCCATGGTGGTTTGCTGCACTCATCAACCCATCATGTACATTATATTTCTCCTAATGCTATCCCTCCCCCAGCCCTTCACCCTCAACAGACCCTAGTGTGTGATGTTCCCTTCCCTGTGTCCATGTGTTCTTATTGTTCAGCTCCCAGTTATGAGTGAGAATATAAGGTATGTCCAGCATCTGTTGTTTCCTGACTTTTTAATGATTGCCATTCTAACTGGCATGAGATGGTATCTCATTGTGGTTTTGATTTGTATTTCAATAATGACCAGTGATGATGAACTTTTTTTCATATATTTGTTGACCACATAAATGTCTTCTTTTGAGAAATGTCTGTTCATATCCTTTGCACACTTGTTGATGGGGTTGTTTTTTTCTTGGAAATTTGTTCAAGTTCCTTGTAGATTCTGGATATTAGACCTTTGTCAGATGGATAGACTGAAAATTTTCTCCCATTCTGTAGGTTGCCTGTTCACTCTTGTGATAGTTTCTTTTGATGTGCAAAAGCTCTTTAGTTTAATGAGATCCCATTTTTCAATTTTGGCTTTTGTTGACATTGCTTTTAGTGTTTTAATCATGAAGTCTTTGCCCATGCCTACGTCCTGAATGGTATTGACTAGGTTTTCTTCTAGGGTTTATATGGTTTTAGGCTTTACATTTAAATCTTTAATCCATCTTGAGTTGATTTTTGTATAAGATGTAAAGAAGGGGTCCAGTTTTCGTTTTCTGCATATGGCTAGCCAGTTTTCCCAGAACCATTTATTAAATAGGGAATCCTTTCCCATTCCTTGTTTTTGTTAGGTTTGTCAAAGATCAAAGGGTTGTAGATGTGTGGTGTTACTGTCCTAATAATCTGTTTCTGTACCAGTACCATGCTGTCTTGCTTACAGTAGCTTTGTAGTATAGTTTGAAGTCAGGTAGCATGATGCCTCCAGCTTTGTTCTTTTTGCTTAGGATTGTCTTGGCTATACTGGCTCTTTTTGGTTCCATAGGAAATTTAAGGCAGTTTTTTCTAGTTCGGTGAAGAAAGTCAATGGTAGCTTTATGGCAATAGCATTGAGAATTACTTTGGACAGTATAGCCATTTTTCACAATATTGAGTCGTCCGATCTGTGAGTATGGAATGTCTTTTCATTTGTTTGTGTCCTCTCTTATTTCCTTGAGCAGTGATGTGTAGTTCTCCTTGAAGAGGTCTTTTACATCCCTTGTAGGTTGTATTCCTAGGTATTTTATTCCCTTTGTAGGAGTTTTGAATGAGAGTTCACTCATGATTTGGCTCTCTGTCTATTACTGGTGTATACAAATGCTTCTGACTTTTGTATCCTGAGACTTTGCTGAAGTTGTTTATCAGCATAAGGAGATTTTGAACTTAGACAATGGGGTTTTCAAAATATATAATCATGTCATCTGCAAACAGAGACAATTTGACTTCCTCTCTTCTTATTTGAATACCTTTATTTATTTATCTTGCTTGATTGCCCTGGCCAGAACTTCCAATAGGAGTGGTGAGAGAGGGCATCCTTGTCTTGTGTCAATTTTCAAAGGGAATACTTGCAGCTTTTGCGCATTCAGTATGATATTGGCTATGGGTTTGTCATAAATAGCTCTTACTGTTTTGAGATATGTTTCATCAATACCTAGTTTATTTAGAGTTTTTAGCATGAAGGGGTGTTGTATTTCATCGAAGGCCTTTTCTGTTTTTATTGAAATAATCATGTTGTTTTTGTCATTGGTTCTGTTTCTGTGATGGATTACATTTATTGATTTGTGTATGTTGAACCAGACTTGTATCCCACGGATGAAGCCAACTTGATGGTGCTGGATAACTTTTTGATGTGCTGCTAAATTCGGTCTGACAGTATTTTATTGAGGATATTTGCATTGATCTTCATCAGGGATATTGGCCTGAAATTTCTTTTTGTTGTTGTAGCTCTGCCAGGTTTTGGTATCAGGATGATGCTGGCCTCATAAAATGAGTTAGGGAGGAGTCCCTCTTTTTCTATTGTTTGGAATAGTTTCAGAAGGAATGGTACCAGCTCCTCTTTCTACCTCTGGTAGAATTTGGCTGTGAATCTGTCTGGTCCTGGGCTTTTCTTGGTTGGTAGTCTATT